ACTATGTCTTTGGACTTGTTTTGAAACTTAGATGCTACTGCCAGGTATCATAAGATGAAGCTCTCTTTTCTCAGTTGTCCAGCCTACTGCAATAACACTTCTTGGAAGTATACGCTATCTCTCATGCGATCGATCACCAAAATAGAATGCAATAACCTTTGAGTGCAGCCAATGTAGGCAAAATTCAGGAGCAACATGCTCCTTTATAGAAAGGTAAAACTTACGATATCCGCAAGTGATGGTGGGTGGAGAGCTAAGAATGCAGCAGCCACTAATCGACACATCTGAATATTATACAGTGCAGTGTGCTGGAGAGACGCAACTGTACATGCAAGAAGAGAGTCATCCTAAAATTCAGATTAGATTTGATTTGATTGCACAAAAATAGCAACTACTTAGTCGTACTTCCTGACCGGCCTACCCTTCTCCGCCTGTTCACAGAGTCCTCTCTTGGGCATCTTGCTTTCCCAGCCCGGTTCCCTCTTGACATGGCCCACACGCCGATACGGCTTGCCCTTGTCACCCCTGAACAACATATGCCAACCCTCCAGACCAGCGACCATTTGTTTCCTAGCACTCTTGAGCTCCTGCGCATGTCTATTCTTTAACTCACCCTTGGTCAATGGCTTCCTCTTCCTCGCCTTCTCCATCTCAATCTCACGTTCTTGTGGTGTCAGGCTGACCTTCTCCTCTGGGTCAATGGGAATGAACATTTGCTCTACGCCGCGTAGATCAGGGACGCTGTCTTCGGCGAAACAGCCGGTCAGGAAGGCGCGCGCGGCGTCTTTGCCTGCGAAGAAATGGTAGGAGCCGCCTGGCCCGTACGTGGTAGGCGAGATGGAGACGTCGTAGATTGTGCCGTTTAGCGCAAGGTAGATTGGTCTAGAGGGATCGGCGCCGTTGTATAGGGCAAGTTCGGAGTCGGTTAGGATGACTTCTCCTTGCTACAAGATAGGCACGTTAGCTATGAGAGGTTTGCTGGTGGAGGACGATAACAGGCACGTACCATGAGGCTCTTCCACTCTCGAGCTCGAGTCCACCATGGGTTGTATCCCCATGTCATACTCTCTCCGCTTGTACTCAGGTAGCTCAGACCACAGCTCAGTAGGAGCACGCCACCCAGGATACGCAATACATCGAGCATTGATACGCCATTTGATGTTGCGACAGCTTGTTCTTTGACAGCTTGCTTGAGCTCCGCTTTCTCTTTCGCGCCTGTGGCGGTTGGTGGAATCGAGGATGTAGTCGTGTCTGTAGGCTCGTCTTTCGCAGGACGACGGTACCGCTGGGATGAGGACATTGTGGTGATGGCGTGCTCGCTTTTGCTACCTGAATCGTGTTGTCAGTCTCTACACACGTGTGCACGTATCGATCGCAGTTACGCAGAGGTCCTCCTACCTGTTCATCCAGCACCCATGCAGCTCAAATTATCGTACTTGCACACGAATGCCGAGGCAAGATACCTCGATCAAAGGTGACTAGCTGTAGAATCAAGTGTTCGGAGACGTGTCCGTAAGCCAGGTACCGTCGGATGCGCAATGCGGAGAATAGATTGCTTTCGCGTTCCGAGGCGTTACTCTCGGGAAGTACCACACATGTCGGTTCCGATGATTGGCCGCCATCCGATTGATGTCATTGACGATCACGCGCCAGCACTACCGGACTAGACCTTCACTATTGAATGAGATCGACATGCGTACACTCTGAGTAACATAAATTATGAAATTGATACGCGTATTTCTATAGCTGCTGTGTATCATGTCTCCTAGACGAATCTATCGTTGGTATATCAATACAAGCCTCTCCTTCCGCATTCGTACACAACGTTCGTCTTTCTGCCCATCCTTTCTTGTTCAGATGTTAAATTCGCATAACTCAGGTACTGCGACATTGTTCATTACGGACTCCATAAGGAGGGTGAAGGAACTGCTCGATGGTGTTCCGTCAGATCGACTAGAACCACACAAACGACTCACTCCGCGCCGTCGTGGATGTCGCGTATCTCGACTTGCGCCTCTCTGTCACTCTTGGGAAAGACCTGCTTAAGACCTGCTTGGAAGACGCCGACGTTGTAGTCGATGATAGCCTTCTTCTCTGCTGGGTTGTCCTGGCCCATGATGCATACCAAGGCGAGATATCTGTGTCTACCGTCAGTATAACTACGGTATCTTACCGTAAAAGCGGACTGACTTACTTGTTGATCTCCCGCAAGTAGAGGTATCTGCTATTCTTTTTCTCCATCGTGATCAGGCTTTCAGCATCGTTGTTCCCCGTCTCACTTTCATCCTCGCCCTCATCGGGTCGATCCCAGCCATAGATTTCACTGACATCGATAACCACATCGATGTAGTCGGAACATATCTCGTAGCTGCCGATGTCGGTAGGACTGGTATCTGTTGCAATGTAGATCTTGCTCATGATGTCGAAGAGGTAGGCCTTCTCAATGTTGCATGCACCACACAGGTTGTTGAGCAGTGCTTCGAGCGTGGGAAGCTGTGGGATGAGCTTTTGGATCACCTTGCTGAAAGCTTCGAAGATGGAGTGGTCGTAGATGGATGTTTGGTAGAAGGATATAGGGGCCTGCTCGTAGCCGTGGTCCGAGAGTTCGTCTTGCACTCGTTGAATGATATCCCGGAAAGTATCTCCACGGAAGTCGTCCGATAGGCCATCAACCTTGTGCACAAAGACCTCAACGTTGATGTTGGGATATGATTGCTGTAGGTTCAGGATCGTCATGTTCAGTCGTGCAATCGCATCGAGGTATTCATCTTGAGCGTCAATAACCCATATCAAAGCACCGATTTCCTCGAAGATGTTGTCCGTATCGAAAGCTGGGTCGAAATAGTCTAAATGACCTGGCAGATCCCATACTTGGAAGTCCATGAACGAGCTGGTGTAGTTGATTAGCACACGAGTGTACACGCCGCATGAAGGACATACTGCATTGATTCTTTCTTTATCCTGTACGTTGTCTCGAGATACAGCGTCTCGCTTGGTGGTAGCTTGTGAAAGACAACACTTGATATCGAAGACTTGCCACTCCTATGATCATGTGGTTAGCGATGCATGGATGCTGGTCTCGTCTGATGTTACCTTCTCTGCCCCATGAGAAGCAATCGTGGCTTGCCATCTCCGGCCTTGCTATTCGGGACACGGCCAGTGTGGTACTGCGGCGCAAAGTCAACAGGCGGTTCCTCGGCGTTTGGTAGGTCCTGCAGAAAACGATCCATCGTCAATTGAGCACTTGGTTTGAGTAAGGACGAGCTGGAGGAAGTTCGCCTCGCCTCTGCGTCACCATATCGAATAATATCGTGAGCAACATCAATGGTTGCTGAAGGCCGCCTTGAAATGAAACGGCTCTCCATGGTGAAGGGTAGTGGTACAGGGTATATCGCTAAGAGCAGAAGTCGCAAAACTAAGAGAAAATTGGGTATCGTGGGTTGAAGAAAGCGCCGCGCCGAGACAAAACAGAAAACAGAAAGCCGGCCCTTCCTATTTCACTTCACCTGACCGGCATCTGCGCAGTGAAGCGTGGTACTCTCGTGGGGAGATGACAGGCACGCTGCGACGACGTGTGGTACAACACCAGCAGGGAGAGGCCACGAGGACGGGCGGTACATGAGAAGGGGAGCTGGCGAAGAAGTGACGGGTCAATCAGGAGCCCCCGAGATGTTCTACAAGAGCAGACGGTGATATGCGCAAGGCAGTCGACACCGAGCGGAAGGCACCAAGGGGAGCTCAGGCCATGGTGCAGACGTACATAGGGCTGAGGAAGTCGCAACGCAACCCGCGGCCTCGCAAGAAACCTAACCAGAAGGGGAAGACGACGATACACGTGGGGAAAGCAAAGGATTAAAGAAGGAATCTGGGCTTACCTCCATGGTTGTTCAGTGGTAGTGTAGCGTCTTTGCGTTGCGCACGGTGGTGATAGTCTTTAGGCCCGAGCCTGCCACTGCCCCAGAACCGCTGTCCTTGCTAATGAGCCAACGCCCAACTCAACCCACCACTTCAGCCAGACACTCGGGATTACTATGTCTCTTCCAAGGTCACTTGCATCACCCTCTGCCAGGGTCTCCGTCCTGCTGATTCCCTCTTCGCAAACGTCCTTTGTTGATAACCAGAAGCCGAAGAAGCCGGGCCGGCAAGGATGACAGTCCGCGGGCGCCCAGTCGTCGGGCACCAGAGCGTCACTGCAACACGAATCGAGGCTGGGTCGGAGATAAGCCAGTGCTGCTAATAGACAGCTGTAGTAGTACGATGCTGAAGCATCTGGGAACGTCGTAGAAGACGGATAGTGTCATCGCAAGGAGACGGTTGGTCGCGTGCAGTCTACGTTCGCTTAACACAGGAAGATCTTCAGGCACCATCACATCCTCGTTCTCAGCTTTCCAACACCAGCCCAACTACGATAAAGAGTGAATGCTCTTGTAGTCCGTGGCTTGGAGTAATTGCCCCATTCGTATTATGCAAAATCAAACTCTGTCAGCCCAACCCTACTCGAGTCAACGCTAACGATATTACCGCATGGCAGGCAAGGATGCGTTTTCGCGGATAGCTACCCGCAGCAGCAAGGTTACACGACGTTCCAGGAATGCTTCCCAGCGCCATTGATACCAGCGTCACATCCCCTTTAGCATCTGATGAAGCAGATAGATATGTACGAGTAATCTCAACGAGACATCAATATACGTGTGTGCCTAAACTTGCTCTTCTCGCTATGTTCGTACATCATTAGAACACCAAAAGCAATATCAAAAACTACCCGACGCTCCGGCCCTAAGTGTTGCTGGGCGAAGTGCATGTGAGACATGCTGGCTTCATACAACCACACCTAAAATCCAACCTGGGAATATGAACGCAAAGATCCAAAGCCATTATTTCCGTTCTCCACATCTCCGTACACCAGAAGCCTGTAGGTCTACCTGAATATGATCTTCATTTCAACAAGTAAAATAGCATCCCTCATTTCCGATCGGATTATACCAAGTACGTCGACTATTTCAGTCCCGCGGGCCTGTCACCTCGGCACCTAGAGTGCCCGCAGCTAACTGACCCAGTCCGCCGAAGAAGGCAAGAAACAGGGCTAGTGCAGTTGACTCGCCAGCGTGAACTAGATCCCCCTCAGGCGCAGAGCCGTCCGATTCCATTTCCTGCACCGCTCGCTTGGTCTTCTCGGATGGTTGGTAGGTAGCATCAGGATCACCAGCGAACGAGCCTGCGTCTGAATCCGCATCCGAGATACGCGCTTTCCCCCTTGTGCTGCGCCGCAGAGGTGCACCTGTCGGTCCTGAATGCGTTGCACTGGATGTATCGTTGACAGCCGAATTCTTAGCGGGACGTCCCGGTTTTCTCGGTGTTGTGGGTTCTACAAGCGACGAGGGCTCGCTTGCGTGCTCCATAACTCTGGCCAGGTCTTGCTTGAAGCTAACATGTTTCTCGTGAGTCGGAACAAGGAAAGACAGTATGCTGCTTTCTAAGATAGCATGCACATCTAAATCGCGGGTGAAGGTCCACGTCAGCAAGCTGATGGCTGCGAAGAGAACATCAAGGCTTGTGACACTAATAGCCGGGTGCATACTGATATGCTTTAGAGCCTGGCCAGCGTTGCTGATGCTGGTGAGAAGCCTGTTCGTATTTGCCGAATCGCTGTTGCCGATAGAGTTGGAGAAGAGATCCCAAACATGAGAGCGCTGGGCGGGTCTGTTGACATAGATCAGAGTGGTCCATACGCGCCAGTATACGAGAATAGAGGCTATTGACAGCGCGTGGAAGACTTTGGCGTATGATCTATGAGCCGCTGCCTTGGACGTATGCTGGTGGCCCAGAGCGTAAGGGACCAGTTGCGGGGCAAAAGCAAAGGCCAAAGGCATGGTCAGATAACCCAGTCGCATCATGCTCTTGTCGCCGAACTCGGAAACGAGTTGGGGAAAGAGATTAAGCGTGATGAGCGACGCAACAATGCCGGTGTCGTATACGAAGGCATACGGGGTGAACAGCGCATCGTGTAGTGGAGTATCGTCGCGGTGTATAGTCAAAGGCGTGTACAGAATTGTGATGAAGAACAAGCTCAAGGCATATCCTAAACTCCCGATTGAGCTCAGTAGCACAAACGAGGCGATTGTCGTGTTGGAAAGATTGCGTCTGCGACCTTTAGAACAGAAGTCAGTGGAGGTACTTGGGGTTGCAATGACGGCGCTGACATACCCTCGGCGCCCATGAAGATGGAGCTTGCAATCAGTCCAACAAAATACTGGCTGGTGTAGAGGAATCCTTCAGGCTTCATAATTCCGACCTTGTCGAATTCGCGCACAAGATCTATGTCGGCGATCCAGTCGGCCAGGTACCAGCGCCCTTCGGCTCCAGTGCCGTACCAGCCGCTCCACAAGCTGCCTGGAATGTCATGTTTATTCTCTCCAGCCCACCGAACGTACGAGATGGCGCGCCAGAGGAAGGCGAAGCTTCCTACTGAGAGCAGTGAGAGGAGCGCAATGATAGAGAAGGTAACGGCATGACGACGGCGAGCGGAGTCTTGTAAGCGCGTGCGTGTTGACGGCGGCTGCGATTTGGCGGCGCGTCGAGTAGTGAGAAGCACACGAGCTGTGAGTACCGTGACGAGGAGTACTTGGCCGCCGAAAAGGGCGATGGGGAGCGAGTTGCTGCGCGTGGATGCGACGGTGTCGACTGGCGCCATGGTGCTGGCTGGGTGATGCGATCAAAGATAGGGATAGATGCGCATTACGCGACAGCAACCAAGGGGTTTGGTATAAGACGGAAGCAAGTCAGCCCAGCTGAAAGCATGGCTGGCTTGTTTTCATCTGGAACGCGCCTGCCTCCCCGCCGCCCACCTATGAACGTCACTGACGTAGTTCTGGAGCTTACCCTTGTTCCACGCTAGGCTCTTCCCGTATTGGCCGTCGATCTGGCGCATCTCCGTTTTGGCTTGCGCGACGCGAACTCGAGCCTCCAACACGATACCCGCTTTATCATGCCACATACCTATGGAGACGAAGACCTCGACACTGCCGACGACAAGTACCATGAATCGTCCGATGAAGACTTCAACCCCGACGCTGCCCCAGCTGAAGAGGCATCCAGCTCCGAAGACGAAGACCATGTCACTATAGAACCCACACAGCGCAAGGGCAAGCGGAATGCACCGGCCGATCAAGACCTCGACTCTGGAGATGAGATGACAATACAAGCTGCGCGGAAGAAGCGGGCGAAGAAAAAAGGCAAGAAAGGCAGCAACGAAGACGAGCTGATCATATCGGATGATGAAGGCGGGGAGGGTGGACTTATCAAAACTCGGGCCCAACGGAGAGTCGAGGGCAAGGAGAGGAGACCGCTTGCAAGAATCGAGAGCGCAACTGTTGATGTCGACGCGCTATGGGCTCAGATGACAGCAGCGCCTTTGAAGCCTCTGGAATCCACCAAACCGCAGGAAGCGGCTGCGCCACAGCATCATGCACCTGTAGTCAACATTCCAGTATCGGCGGAGGAAGAAGAACAGCTGACGATCAAGAAAATCTTCACATTCGCTGGGCAGGATACCACCGAGGAGAAGCAGATACCACGCTCGCAACTCGACAAATACCTCAAAGATGGTTGGAAGACACTCGATGCACCCGCTGCAACCACGAATGCAGCAGAATCCCCTAAAGTTCCCTCCGAATCTACCGGACCCAAGCTCCGTCGTCCTGTCCGCCGCCCTTCTCGATTCGATCCTAACCCTACAGGCTATGTGCGCGCTCTCGCACCCGAACATCAGCTCTCTTGGCCCCGTACATCCACCACCTTACAGCCCGATCAAGAAGTCGTTCCGGAAGCCGACGTCCCGATCACGAAGAAGGCAGAGAAAGCGCAAAAGCTTAATGTTGTGGACAAATCGCGCATGGATTGGACAGGTTTTGTGGACAAGGAAGGCATCGCAGAGGAACTGGATACACATGGAAAGACCAAAGAAGCTTACCTGGGTCGTATGGAATTCTTGGCTGGTGTTGAGGCACGGAGAGAGGAGGAGAGGAGGAACTTGAAGATTAAGGCTGCGGCCGCTGCGCCCACGGCAGGCTGAGCTGTAGCGCTCGTAATGTTCTGGAGAAGTGTAGATGCTTTCTAATGATACCCACATGTCGCTTTACAGGGATTTGTTCTTTCCTGCTTCCCTGTTATGATTTCTTTTGCTCTGCAGCTACGTGTGCCTGCTGGAACGAGACGACCAGACTCTTATTGGCACATGAAACTTCGCGTAATCATTGTATGGTTATTATTTCGTGCTGACAATTGACGGGAAGCGAAAGCGTAAATGGGTATACTGCAGCGCGGCTACGACAGCAAGAAGCAAATATACAATGCCATGGTGCGTAGATACGACCACAGAAGATGAAGCCAAAGAACGAGATGGAACAAATGTCTACACATTCTCACCAACCGTCCACGCTGTCAAGTATCTTGGAAGTCGCTACCGGATAGGTTCCTCGAGCGCAGCCTCAAAGTCGTCTTCCTCATCTTCCTCATCTTCCTCGTCGTGCTCAACTGGCGCCTTCATAGGTTTCGGCTTCATATTAGCACGGATGGATGATACTATAGCCCTGGAGTACTCAGAGCTATTTGCCTTTAGTCTCCCAAGCTCGCGTCCTGCCACAGTGAAAACGAAAGTGGATTGTTCGGGCCGTTGGAACGTGCCATACAGTACCGATGCTTTGATCGTATCCCACAAACATGCTCCAGGCGTAAGATACTCATCCATGAGAGGTCGAATATCGGGATGGCCTAAGAAACCGATGTGCAAAGTCAGTGTACGTTTCACACACAATCCGTATACGGGGGAGCTTACCAGGATCGTCAGGCCGTATAGCCTGATATCGTTCGTAACAGGTGTTCACGAGAGTGTTGAAGTGGTCGTTTGTGCTCATATTACTGTGGACCCCAGCGTTCCAAGTATTTTTCACTTCTCTCAGCTTGCCAGTCAGAGACAAAAGTTCCTTCTCGATCGTGTTCGATCTGTTCTCACTAAGGTGCTTACTCGGATAAAGCAATGCCTCATCCGGTTGGATAGCTTTCAAGAAGACGGATTTAAGCTGCACCATTGTCTCAATATTGTGCGCTCTTACAACATCGAAGTAGATGTAGTCAATGGCATGCTTGGAGTCGTATCGGTATGGCTTCTTCCGGGATTTCTCGACTCCTGTGGAGTCCTTGGTATTGAAGCAATCCTCCATCGCGTCCTTGTAAACTGGCTTCCTTGGTTGTTTTGGTAGTTGGTGTGACCACCGATCGAAGTCCTCCGGTGTAAAAACATAGCCTTGTTTAGAAGCATCGACTAGCAAGTCGTGCATATCATACAGCTGCTCAAGCTTTGATGAATATATGCGATTTTCGCTATAAGCTTGCTTCTCTGCAAAGGTGGTGACGAGACCAAGTAGAGAAGGATTATCGCGGAATTCGAATGCTTTGCAGAGAAATTTGTCCACTGTTTCCGGGTTGTCGGTATCCATAATATCCTTGAGCCTTTCGCTCCGTGTTTGTATGCCATACTTTGCAGGATCAGGGGGTTGTACTGGCGCTGGCGCATTCAGAAATGGCTGCACAAGTGTGGTTTCCCAGCATATCCAGAACATATCACCATCGTAATCACCACCTTGAAGTTTTCCGGCTAGTGGGTAACGGCCTTTACACGGAAAGACTACTACATCTACTAAATGCGATAGTTCAGGGCGTGTGGTTGTGCGCACTTTCTGGATGTCTGAGCGGCGACAAGCAGGCTGACGAGCAACTAAAGCTTCCATGTCCCTAAGACTGAGGTACTTCTCGTCTGTCTTCTCGTCGACGAATGAGGATGAGAATTGCACCTGGATCTCCCCTGGCTCCAAAACCCCCAAAGGATCCGCTACACCATACAAAAAGGCCGATTTTGCGAGCGGTACCCGTAGCTTGGATTCCTGAAATATTTGCTTGGTCTGAATAAAGCGTTCAAGGCTTTTGGCAAGATACGGAAACCTGGTGGGTAAAAAGCCCGATTCCAGTAGAAACTTCAGCTTTTCCTCTAGAGATAATGGCAGTGCACCCTGCCAGGAAGGTTCAGTCCGGGTCTTTACGCCGTTCCGGTGAACCCAATCGTACGTCTTGACAGGATCTGGAAGCAATTCTAGCAGCTTCTTGCGTTCCGTATCGAGGCACTCCCTCATGAGACCAGAAATAGCTTCTTTCTTTATGCCTCGATCAATCAAGATAGGAATGAACGATATATGGAGTTCTGATGGTGACGGCGCGGAACTGTAGTTGGAAACCTCAAAAGTTCGGTGATGATGTGACTGGTCGGCAGGTGGGTGAAATTTCTGTTGACTCTTGTTGATTTTGATCCAATATTCGAGATGCTGAGGATCCTTGGTGAATGACTCTGCACTAATCATCCAGAGCCCTTTAGCTCCACCAATACGTCCCTGGAAAGCACTCGGTAAAGGACCAGAAACTCCAGTAGCTTTCTTGTATCGCTGCCATATGTCTAATGCGGCACCCACAGAGATAATTGAGCATCCGTCATTCATGACAGTATTGTTAGGAAATGACTGCCACTGTAATCTTGGATCGTTAAAGCGTGTGTCTTCCGGGTCATTTGAACACAAATCATCATCCACGTGGATGATTTGCGATGTATCAAAGCATAATGTTGGGATGGTTCGAGAAAGCCCGAGTTCAATGCGAGCAAAGGCTTTGCAAAAGCCCTGGTTCTCGTTGGTATCAAACGGTAGGAACTGATGAATCATCTGACCCACTGAACACGGCTGCTTAATGCCACATCCTTCTGTCGCGAAGAGTACAATTCTTTTTTCGTGGACCGTATCCTTTCGACGGGCGTTCTTACTCCTTTTCAAATCTTCAATGTGGAAGGCTCTCCATTTACGGCCCAAGAAGGAATGCTCGGCAAGGAGCCATGCTTGCCATTGACTGCAAATTTGTTGCATTTGACCAGCATTGTAGCGGGGCGTCTTGGAAGAATTGAATTTGGGTGTGTGCAGGTAGAGGAAGCGGTCTGAACCAAAGATTCGCTCAAATCGACACGATTTGTCTGGCTGTACCGGTAACAGCGTCAGATAGACAACGGGACCAGTGTCTTTGGGGCTGAGAGTGATGTGCCCCTTGAACGTGTAACCATCAAATTTGCGTTTCGCCGCTGGCCAGAGGCGACTTGACTCTCGCAGCTTCACGGGTGTAATGCTGTTATTTCTCTCGATAAAACGCCAAAAGGCTTCAGGATCAGAAGACACGGTAGATACGTCCATGCCACGGACCAAGTGCTGTACTTCGACAGAGTGCTCTATCGCTAGACGTTGACAGATGAAGAGGATATGGTAAGGAATGTGCTCTAGTGCTCTAGGGAGCTCATCTATGAAGAGATTCTGGTTGGGGAGATCGCGTACTTCATATGACATCTTTAAGGGAGATTGTGTGTCAGGAGATGTCTGCCCTTGATAGTCTGGTACTCCATTGAACGGGAATAGTGTCGAAGCCGATGTGTAGGCTTGCTGATCGCTCTGGTTGGTAATGAGAGGCGCTTGGAGATTTCCTTGCCTCTCATTTGGAATCAATCCCGATCCATTGCGCTTGTCTTCAACCTCGACAGAGGCCTGAAGGAGACTGTCTTCATCGATAGAACCAAAAGTCGACCGGCTTTGACCGCTGCTTCCTTGGGAATGGACTTGATTGAGATATCGCTGAATATCTTGTTCGAATACTCCATTTCCTGAACGCAAAATAGCTTGGTAGTAATCACGATCATCCAGGGAACCCTCTATATGTGAACTTGTGTTTGTCAACCTAGGCTCGAGCAAGCTCGTCTTCTGAAGATCTCTGACAGCATCGATTGATGTAAACGAAGTGTTTGTAGTAGCTGCTGTCTCCTGAGAAGAAAAGGATGTGTTATCAAAAGATGTGTTGGCCGAGGATGAGCCTGAAGGTGCAGCCTGGAAGGATCGAGCCATTTCGAGAGTCGGCTTCACGAACTGTGGCGGTGCGATGGGCGAAGATTTGATAGACTTGACAGTCTGCTTCCCTTTGGAGGTTTTGGTCAACTTTGCCGAGTTCTCAGAACGACCGGAGCTTTCGTAAGGCCTTTTCTTGGTGACATGTAAAGAGACATGGTTACTTGCCTGATAAAGCGTCCGTGCTGGCCTAGTAGATGGTGATGGTGACGGCGATGGCGATGGCGATGGAGATGGCGATTGTGGTGTCTCAAATTCTTGGTCCGTCTCGTTATCAGCGTCAACGTCTGTTGACCCTGAATCGATGGCCGTCGCAAACGATTCACGACCATCTTGCTGAACGTCGAGCGAACGGTCTGTTGCCTGTGGATATGACTTTACTCCTGTGCTCTTGTTAGCTCTTGCATAATACTTTCCCGTTTGCATATGCTATTACTTGGCGACTGGTTTTGTGGTAGAGTACCAGGACGACAACTTGCGCTAGAAAGAGGCAGTAATTTGAGCACTATATGTTGTGAATTGCACCCATTCATTGAGATATACATCCTCTACCGATGTGGTAAAAGTGCGCATAGAAACTTCGGAGGGCGTAAAAAGCAAGTGTACCTACCACTCGAGGATGTCATCGAACTTTTGGGCGGTTCATTGTATGGCATCCTGCCATTCGGAACCGATTGAGACTTTTTCGTACGGGACAAAATCTCATGAAGTTCCGCAAGACGCTTTTCGCGTGTCAGACTCGGAGCAATTCTCTCAAATTCCCTGATCGCATGATGCAGGGCTGGCCGTGCTCTGAAGAACAGCAACTTAACAAGCGCACAGATCTTGTCTGAAGTATCATCCCTACTCGATCTTTTTGGCGACCATTCAGCGCCACGAACTCTTAGGCCAACCTTCCATTCTTTCTCCAGCGAGCGAATTAGGTTGTCGATGGCTACCCCAGGGCGGAGGTGCGGAGTTCCCGGTAGCGAAGCGGCAGGACCACCGTTACCCGTCATGACGCAGGGCAACAGCGTTCCAACACGCCTCGTGATTCATGCGATCAAATCAATGACATGAACTCTTGCGAGCAGAAGAGAGCGAATGTGGGTTGGAGGAAATGTGATATGGTGGGGTAGGTTACGGAAGGCTGGGGATACTGGGTGTGTGCCTGAGGCAGCGATTGCTAGGCGTTGAAACCAATGGCCTGTGCACGCAACGCGTTATCACGCAGTCACGCGGCGGGACCATTCACCGAGGAATACAGTTCCACCACTAATCCACGCAGCGCCTTCCAAGAGCTTAGTCAGTATCCAGAAAGAAAAAACGTTTCACAGTATCTCCGGAAAACACATCATGTTCCTCGCTAAGCTTCTTAAAGCTATCGCCGTGGACAATGGTAACCTGTAGCGTGGATAGGAGAAGAACATCATGTGTCATATACGGCTCCATGAGGTCGTCTAGATTTGTGCCATCTCGCTTTTCGCACTATGGCGGATATTTTCCCAAACATGCAATAGGTATTCGTGAAATTCAATGAACCGTGAACCAAGCCCCATCCTTCCCAAATCCAAGCTCTTTCAAGCTTAGACCTTCATCTCCTCGAGACCGTGCTTCCAGACGGTAACGTAGGGTGTGACGCCATCCTCGCGGTAGTTGAGGAGGACGATCATGCCATCGGGGTTCATGGACTCGCCGGTGAAGAACTCGTAGTCCTTGAAGTTGCCGATGATCTTCTTGGCGTAGCCAGAGGCCTTGGTCTCAAAGTCCTTGATGGTGGCCTCGTCAGCACCCTTGTTCTTAAGACCCTCCTTGACCGCCTTCATGTAGCCTGCATCTCGTTAGTTGTGCGCTTCTTGTAGTTTCTGCTAGCGTATTTACCCTTGAGGTAGGTAAGGTAGCCCTTCTTGTCGAAGCCGGTCTCGTTCAGGCGGAAAGAGTGGACGACGTCGATCTTGGTCTCCACGGTGTCGTCGGCACCCTCCTCTTGCTCCTCAGCAGAAGCATTGGCACCAGTGTCTATGCGATGTTAGCTCTGTGGCTGATCTGTCTGCATTGGCGGGACCCACCGAATTGTTCTCCTCCGACGTTGATCTTGGTGCAGTCGGCCTCGTAGACGACGCCGTCGATCTCCTTGAGGTTGTAGGAGTCGGAGATGATCTCGTCACCGGTGAGGATGTCCTGGGAAAAAGTCAGTACTCTTGGTCTAGTGGGGAAAACGTGTTATCCTCGTATGCGCAAAGCATGGTGAAGGCTCGCAGGGAAGGCGGGGTAGTAGCGCAGGCAAGAGAGCGACGCAGCGCAGGCTGAGCGTACCTTGTAGATGAGCATTTTGGCGGTGGGTGTGGAGTATGGGATAGAGTGGAAAGAGTGTAGGTTGGTCGGGGCTGGCAGTCGAGGGGTTGTAGACTGGAGCGGAAAGGAAGCGCTGGACTATAAGGGTGTGAGAGAGAATTTGGTGGGGTCGAAAATTGGGTGTGAAAGCGGGCTAGCCGCAAGCAGTAGCAGCCATGGGCTGGCCGTGCGCACAGGGCGGGTGGCGAGAAATGCAGGCTGGTGGCTTTGCGACGACTAGGCCGGCCCGGGTGCTCGGCGGCGAAATGTCATGATGCGCGCGTATATCGTAAACCCCCGTCATGCCTTGCTCCTGTCACCGGCACGCAGCACCACTCTCACACGACTTTCACCTCCACATCGCTCCGCTCACCTCAGCCTCTCCTTTCTGAGCCCGGCCGGTCAATTGCACGCCCTTGGCCAAACACTTCAAGCGACCCTCTGTCGTCCGCTGCATCGCTCCCTTCTCCCTAATTTCCCTGGTCCGCGGCTTCCGGCCTTGTTCCGTCTTTGTCACCCCGTAGCTGGCGCTGCGGTCCCGCCACGAGCAAGCTGCTTCCTTCACCATCGTCACCGGCTACTCTGCGCTGCTTCTCCACCTCACATAGTTACCTCTGTAATCCATAATCGCCTCTCCCAGGCCACCTCTGCCGCATCATGGCGAGCGCAAACACAACATCATACCACCTCCCGCCGCTCCCCGAATACACCCTCGAACCTCTCCAACCGCTCACATCGTGGGCATCCGACGCCTTCATACAAGCGGCATTGCCTGTTGTTGGCTACTGGGTCGTCTCTCTCATCTTTCACGCCATTGATGTTTACGACCTGTTCCCGCAGTACCGCCTGCACACGCCAGCTGAGGTCCTCAAGCGCAACCATGTTTCACGATACGAAGTACTACGCGACGTTATACTCCAGCAAATCATCCAAATAATTGCCTCCTTCAGCCTGTCGTTATTCGACGACGCGCCCACGACTGGCAAAGCTGACTACGATGTCGCTTGGTACGCGCAAAAGATCAGGCTCGCACAGCGCGCCGTCCCATACGTCTTGTCTGCAGTAGGCGTCAACCCAATTGTGCTAGCCTCCAAGGTTGCTACTTCTCAACCCATGCTCTCTTCTGTTCTTGTCGGAGGCAAATACCCCGCGCTGCTGCAGACAGCGACAATTGCCGGAGAGCAGACCCTGGTTCCCGCTTTTGCTTCATGGGAGATCGCTGTCGCTAGCTTCGCGTACTGGTATGCCATACCTGCCCTCCAGTTCAGTGCTGCTATTGTCATCATGGACGCATGGGAGTACATGCTGCACCGTGCGATGCACTTGAACAAGTGGTTATATGGTAAGGCCTGACCGACATAATGCTCCCGACACCTTTTTTAACATGAATAGTAACTTTCCACTCACGCCACCACCGTCTTTACGTGCCATATGCCTACGGAGCTCTGTACAATCACCCGATCGAAGGATTCGCGCTCGATACCCTGGGTGCTGGTTTGAGCTACCTGCTTACCGGCTTGACAATGCGTCAGTCCATGTGGTTCTTTACGGGATCGACCATCAAAACGGTCCTCGATCACGGTGGTTACGCTTTTCCCTACGACCCTATCCACTGGATCTTCCCCAACAATGCCGCTTACCACGATATCCACCATCAAAGCTGGGGTATCAAGACCAACTTCTCGCAACCCTTTTTCGTCTACCTTGACCGACTTGGTGGAACAATGTACAAAGGCGATGTAGCCGCCAAGTACGAGCGTGCTCGTCTTACGGCACAGCAGAAGGTCGACCAAGAAAAAGAGAATGAAGCTACTGCAGTGCCTCTGCCAACTGCTACAGCCTCCAGCCTGTCACAAGACGAGAGTGCGGTGCCACAAGGCGCATCCACGCCTCGCATTTCACGAAAGAAGGCCAGCAGCATTTCATCGACAGCGGGCACGAACTTCAAAGACTTAACGAACAAGGTCAATCAAAACTTGCACGGCAGAAGAGCCAACGTTCTCGGGCTAGAAAGCTCGCATTGATGGTACTGATTTTCTTCTTCTACTTACACAAACATCACAAGGTTACAGTAATGTATAGTTCTCTGGTGTATAACTCCCGGGTAGCTTTCATGCGTCCGCTGCATTGTATTACTTTCTTGCATGTTCCGATAGCTTCACTTTTACCCATGGTTGTTCCTGAGATACGGCCTGTTATTCTGTCATCATTCGCTCACGGACTGTACGATTTTGGGACGGCGTTTTCTGGACGGTTTGGACCGCATTGAATTTGAGTTGGTCAGCTACAATACTAGATTGTTTATTGCCTACAATCTAGTTCTATGCCGCACTTTTGAATATGTGGATGACTTACAACACAATGTTTCACTCCGTCAATCTTAGTTGATACACCAACTCTGTCTCAATAAGACTGTCTTTGACTACAGCACCCCGTGGACGCCGGCCATTGGCCATGGTGCGTATGGTTCTATTCAAATTTCCATCTAGTACGACTCGTACTCCTTAAGCTGTTCCATGATAAATATATATATTAACAGCTTTCACAGATTGTACTCGCACGTGTCAAATATATGTATTGATACCATTGATGAATCATGAGTTCACAATGTGTTTCTGCAATTGCTCCTTTTAGTATTCTTAATTCCCCCTATCTTCTTCCATACTCACCACAGCTCTATCACAGTAACCTTCACTACAACTTACCCACAATGCATCACAACCACAAAGACAAATCGCAACACTTTAAGATGCGTTCGTTTCTGCACAAGATGGAGACTCGTCGTCTCCACAACAGCGACATGAAAAGGCTTGTCCGGATCCTCAGAAAAGTGCCCGCTCCTACCGAAGACGATTATGAGCGCAAGCAGGTGCTCTACCGTGAACATACCAAGACAGCTATCCGACGTCTTCCCAGTCGGTTGCGCTCCTCGCAGCTCTCCTTTGGTTCTACAAGCCTGTGCTCGATACACAATGGTCTAAATCAAAACCTAATCAACGACATATGGAGCTGGATACGCCACGAATTCGACGGCGCTATTGGGAAGTTTCTCTATCCACTTATCATGTCTGATGGTGTTCTAACAGCCGACCAGAAGTATCAAGTCCGCCAGTTGGAACCAGTGTTACAAATGTGGCAACCCAATTTCAGTGTGGAAGCCTCCGCTCCACCGGATCATGAGCCAATTCATTGTGGATCCAGATGGCACTACCAGCAAAACAAATGCTCGGCCTGTATAATGGCGCGCATCGGCTCCAACGAAAACGTCCTTTTTGCGTTGTTCGCAGGAATGGTTGGCCGTTTCAACACTAAGGCATTTACCACAATGGACGCCCTCCGCAGCGTTGCTGGTTGGGATAGCATGAAGAGCAAACGTCTTAGATTTGTGCGTTATTGGGTCCGGAAAACAATTGGAGATACTGCATTGCTGAGAGCGGGCGGCCTAGGTCTGGAGCTTAAACGCCTTCGCGTCCAGTGGAAGCATGAGCAATACCGTCAGCCTCGTTTACCTTCTCGGAAAAGGATGCAGAAGACACGCGGTCTGGCTTTGAATCAAAAATCAAAGAATCAGATTGAGACTGTTCATGTGCGCCCTCCTAGTCGTTCTACAAGCAGTCCTATAAGCTTGCAACAACCCAACCAGAGAGCAACTCCGAAGCTGTTCGACCAAAAACTTGGTCCCAATCCCCGACCTCCAGATGCAAACAGCCTATCGCCATTAGAAGATCTGGGTTTCCGGCTTGAAATGCCCAGCACGCGTGAGCGGACATATACAATTCCTGGCGACCAGCAAGATGTTCACCCGGCTTTGAGAGAATGCCCTACGTCCGTATCTGTCCACTCGCCAATGAATGCTTCAGAACAGTTCCACGAATCGATAAGCCCAGATGGCTCATGTGGCACCTTGGAGCCTGATGACAGGATGAGCTTCGTTGCTCCTAGGCCGGCCCTGCTTCACCCACCCCTTGCACTCGATCGTAAACCTCTGCAGAGATTGAGATCTATGAACAACGATCTTCGTGCAGACTCCATGCACAACATTGCTCCTTCGATGATCTCGTGTGCCTCAACCAAACTGTACGCCCCGTCTGTTGCAACAACCCGTACAATCGCCTCTTACAACGGTGGCCCGTCTTCTCGTGCCAACTATGTGGATCCCCTCGATAACCCGATCTATAATTACATCGAAACACAAGAGGAGCGCGTGGAAAAGTATCGCAGGCTCCTAGCCACGTGTCCTGATTCTGACCCTTTCGCCGAGTACGAAGATGACGCTATGGTGCTTCCAAGACCACAGCGACAGTCCATGTACTCTGCTTTCAGAGACAACGCGTTTGATGACAGCCGTTTCGACAGAATTGACGAAGAGATTGCGGAAGATGAAACCGAGGATTGGGAAAAGACCGAACATGATGGAGACGACGAGCTGTTCTCAGAGGAATGAGGCATAGGGTTGGAATGAGGAATTTGATGCAAGTGTGCGCTCTAATGATGTAGATTGAGCAATAAATAGCATTGTTTTCATGCCTTGCTAATGTGTACTGCTGACCAAAGATACCCGAGACATTTGAGTGTGGTGAATACGAGATGTCAGTGTATCTTTTACATGCACCTATACCGTTACAACTCACGACTCATCCTAGTTTTTAGTAGCTCAAGTGGAATATACAGTGAAGGCATCAAGCACCATCTATGGCGGGAAAACACTGCGAGAAGTGAAGTATGGGGGTCATCAAGTGAGAGTTTACTTGACGGGATTTGCTCTGGTTTGAGAGACGTAACACGCAAAATAGTGTGGCTCAGGCTATAAGTTTCGCATCGCAAGTTGTCTTCAGTGCCAACCATGGCTGGTTTGGAAGATCAATGAAGCTGACCTTTGGGTCTCTATATTGTTATTCAGGCTGTGATGTCACCGCCAAACCCAATCGGGCGTCGGACTGGACCTTGTTTCTTGTACGGCACAATGGCCATGGCTTTGTAGGTTTTACCCATACCATCCGGCCCTCTGTCGACCAGTCGCTTCCAGCCTGTTTCAAGGCGTCTTCGTGTATCCTCATCCTTCGCTGCCTTGAGTAAGCGATCGGCGCGCTCTTTGATGCCCATTGTCGACAAAAAGAAGGACTGTTCAACGGGCCCATGGACCTCAACCCCAGGAGAGGCATCTAGAGCTGCATCTGCGAGAGCGAGGAAGTCTACATCAGCCGAAAGGTCGACCAGACCTGGTGACGCAAAAGGTGAGACAGCGGTATGTGAGCGAATGCCTCTAAGAGTGTTCGCTGGGATGGTATCCAAAGGGCCGTAGTCCAATATCAAGGCTGCACCAGACGGATGTGTCTTCACAAAGCTTTCCTCTTCGACAGCATTTTTCCCTGAATAGTTTTGAGACGCTGAGACGTTGCGAGACTTCGCATTGTCGCCACCTATCCGTACCGCAAAGTCAGATACGTAAGCAAAAGATTCAGGCGAAATCTCAATGATCGCGTTGGGTGTATCCTCCAGTTTCTTGTAACGATCAGACAGTTTCGGCAGATACAAAGAGTGTGGCGTTGGTGTCTTCGAAACAGTCAGTTCAAAGTCCAGTTTCTCATCTTCTTTATTTGACGACGAAGAGCTAGCTGCATTCAAGTTGGAATACGGCGAGGTTGGCGATACTACCAGCTCATGCCAGGTGTTCTTGGGTGTCGTTACTCCATGCTTTGGTTTTATGGGACCAGTGGGTGTGATGATGGTCGATGAGGCAGGCACTGAGGACTGCGCAATGTTTTGGAAGACATGGATCGGGAGTGCGTCGAAGAACTCGTGAGCGAGGATAAAAGGGGTTGCCGTATGCTCTACAAATGTTGTCAGCCCCATGTCAACCAGGTGAATCAAGTTCAGAACCCACCTTTTGGTACAAGCCGTATGTCTTCGCACCACTCAATCTTGCAGGCTGGCATATATTTGCATTGCGCAGTCAATCCAATGCTGCTCTTCTTCAGATCCTCGGTGCCGGAAAGCAACTTTGCTTGTTGTTTCTGCAAGTAAGGCGACGCTTCGACAAGATAAATGGCTTCAATGCTTCTAGTAAAGGCCTTGAAGCTCGATATAGTCTATCTCTGTGTCAGTGTTCTCTATGTTCTCTTCTCTTGCGGATGTATTTACCCTCAGAACATCGTCCATTAACGTTCCTCGACCTGGACCAACCTCAATAATCTGCACCTTTTCTTTCTTTCCTTGAGCCAGCCACTCCGCATACAGCCATATACCAATAAGCTCGCCAAATACTTGACTTATCTCTGGTGATGTCACAAAGTCGCCTTTTGTACCAAACTGATCCTGTCCGCTTGACGTCTGTCTCGTGTAATAACCGCCTTCGGGGTGAGTAAGGCATTGCCGCATATACGCCGCTACGGAAATTGGGCCCGTCGTCTGGAGTAAAAGTTAGCAATGCCTTTTTAAATCGATGATGGGCTCATACCGTGATAGCTTCAGCCAGCGTCTTCGCAAGCGGCGTCGACCACTGCCGCTCCAGGCCATTTGATGTAGAAGTAGAAGACCATCGAGAAGTGCATTTAGCTGTTCGGTTCGAAATTGCTCGTGGCCCTGAACCACCACACCTTATCGCCGTTCGTAGTAGATTCAGAGATTTGGTCCTCATGTCGATATGCGTCACCGAAGTTCCATGACGTCGGCGCGTTCGGAACTACAAAAAGTTTAGATCGGAACGCCAATATGAACGAAGCTATGACCATCACTTAAGGCTTTCCACGTGCTATCCGTCGATCCAACGCCTTCTGCATCAGAGTACACCAAGCAACTCTTTGTACAAACCGAACGAGGAAATTCGCCATCTGCATAAATCTTCGTCAATAAGCGGATAATTTAGAGCAGAATAGGCGAAAGTTTCATTGAGTACAAGAGAGAGAGAGAGACAGAAAGAGCCATGGCATCACGGTGGGCGAATGAGGAAGCAGACAAGGCCGAAGAAGCGCGTCGAAAGAAAGAAAAAGAAGAGAAGAAGCGCCTGAAACTCCAAAAACAGCAAGAGGCGGAGGCAGCAGCACAGGCAGCGCAAGAGGCAGAATCTAGACCCGCAAAGCGACGAAGATTATCAACAGGAAGCGATGATGAGGAAACCCCGAAGCTAAAAGAGGAGCAAGTTGAGAGGAAGCTCTTACAATTTGAAGGTGGACTATGGGGTCCGTGCCGACATATCTCTAACTTCGAGACCCTCAACCAGATCGAAGAAGGCTCATATGGCTGGGTATCAAGAGCGCGCGACATTACCACTGGCTCAGTAGTCGCCCATAAGAAAGTCAAAATGGACTACAATCAGGATGGCTTCCCAATCACCGCGTTACGAGAAATCTCGATCCTGCAACGCTGCAAACACACCAACATTGTCGATCTATTGGAGGTTTTATCCGGCGACGACCCACAAGAATGCGTCCTAGTCATGGGATTCTTCGAGCATGACCTCAAGACGCTACAAGAAGATATGAGTGAGCCTTTTATGGCGAGTGAAGTCAAGACGCTCCTACGGCAATTGGTTTCTGGGGTTAGGTTTCTGCACGACAACTTCATAATGCATCGGGATCTGAAAACATCAAACATTCTACTTAATAACCGCGGACAGCTCAAGCTCGCTGATTTTGGTATGGCGCGATATGTCCCACCTGCGAATGCGCCCCTTACACAGTTGGTCGTCACGCTATGGTATCGCGCCCCAGAACTCTTGTTAGGCACAAGAGATTACGGGACCGAAGTCGACATGTGGAGCGTAGGTTGTGTATTCGGCGAGTTACTTGCCAAAGAACCACTATTACAGGGCAAAAACGAGGTCGATGAGCTTTCCCTCATCTTCTCGCTCTGTGGCCTTCCTTCGGAAAAGACCTGGCCACAATTTTATCGCCTGCCAAACTCCAAATCATTGAAACTACCACGCGACCATCGTAATGCCCCAGGCTTCAACCGGGCAAAGTTCCCATTCCTAACAGCATCCGGTATCGAACTCTTGTCTTCACTGCTATCCTTGAACCCCGCCCATAGGCCCACAGCACAAGATGTCTTGGAACATCCTTACTTCAAAGAGCAACCGAAACCGAAACCGACCGAAATGTTTCCGACATTTCCAAGTAAGGCAGGACAGGAGAGGAGGAGGAAGAAGAGTCCTAATGCGCCGAAGAGAGGAGAGGCGCCAGGGGGGATGCAGGGCAACCTGGACTTTAGCAGCATCTTCAAAGGGCGAGAGGAGGAAGAGAAGGGAGCTGGGTTTCAGCTCAAGATGACTTGATGGATCAAGAGACGAAGCGAAGTGTATACACGTGGGGGGCATTTTCGATATGGGGAGCATGAACTCAGTCCAATTAGGGAAATGGGCCTTCGATTTTTGATTGCCGGTAGCCTGGCTAAAAGAGTATTCTCCTACGTGAACATGCAGATATCGCCAGGCCTTCCCCAAAGATAGCAGCCAAAGGTTCGCGTCTCTCATCTGCGGTCCCGACTCCGACTACGGTCGCTTCCATACGAGCTATAACTGGGACTTCTCCTTCCTCCGCCTCCACGGCCTCCTCTCCTTGGCAGACTGTCCCGCCTGCCGTAGCCTCCTCCCCCGCTTCGTCTTGGTGGTGTTCTGGATGGAGACCGACTGTAAGAGGACCGCGACATGCTTCGCCGTGGTGATCGACTGCGAGATCGTGTGTACGACCGGGGTCGTCCTACATAACCCCCTCGTCCACCACGGCCGCCTCCACCTCTTCCTCTGCCCCAGTGTCCTCGATCAGGCGACATTCGGCGCGGTGGGGAGCGGTAACGCGATGGTCCGTCCATAGGTGGTGGTCTGTATGCGCCAGGCGGCCCTCCACCTCTGAGCGCTCTTCCACCGCGTCCGTAACCACCATCGTAGTCGTCGCGCGGTGGTGGGCCCCTACGCGCCGGCGGAGGCGTCTGTGAGAAGCGACGTCGAGGAAGGACAATCGAAACTTGAATTTTCGCTCCGTCTAATTGTGCGTCGTGCATCTTCGCGATCGCACGTTCGGCGTCGTCGATCTCTTCGTAGAGGATATAGGCTATTCCGCGATTGATGTTGACTATATGGCAATCAGTCCTGCGTTTGTGAAGAGGCCGGGTAAGACATACAAGTCGGATTCATGGGCATCCTGAGTTCTTTGATAGTACCGTACTTGCCAAATATTTCGCGCACATGATCCTCTTTGACATTCCTGGTCAAGGCTTCTACTACGATCTGCTGGAGGATGAGCAAGGTGCTGGTGGAGGAAGGCTGAACCAGAAGCAAGCTACGAAAGTTGCACTTGATAACATAAACTTGCTTACCTTTGCGCTTCTAGGTGCTGGCGACCCATCTCTTGGTGTTGGACTACGGGTATAGCTCCTTCCTCTTGAACGCGACCTGCTGTCCGGTGTGTAGCTTCTTCGTCCATTGCGCCTTGGTGACGGTGATCTAGGCGACCGCGATCGACTGACTGAACGGGAACGTATGAGCGACCGCGGTGTTACTGAGCGTCGCGATGATACTGAATGCGCCGAACGGGGACGAGTGAGTGATCTCGTACGCGACCTGTCGCGAGAAGGGCTGCGCGTGCGTGAGCGTGCGGGAGATGGAGAACGAGACGGCATGCTTTGGGTAGTGGCGCAGTTATAACCGTGTTTTATATTTGCTCTATGCTCGTCAACGTGCATTCATTAGTTGGATTTGGTGTTGTTCTATCAAGGACGCCAAACGCGACGTAACTTTCGGGTAGTGAGCTGTAAGCTTCTGGAAACTTGTCTTGGCGTTAGCACGTGACGAACAGAAGAAGTCCATGAACGGCGGCGCAACAACAGCAGAAATAGTCAGCACAATGGACATGTGACGACGCTTTTGGAAAGAAAAGAGCTGAACTTGGAGAGTGAATCAAAGCGCAATGTAAAGACCTGGATGTTGCATAGCTCTCAGCTACTATCGTGTCAAACCCCCCGCGGAGCTCGATGTTACGTAGCTGCAATGTCATGTGAAGATTGTCTTCAAACAGGTCAAAGGCAGCCTACGCATTAGATGTGTGAAGGACTCTGACTTTTCGTTCGACGTCTGCCGCTGTTGGACTGTTGGACCGATTGCTAGATTGCTAGATTGCCAGCACTTTGACCCGCTATCCGTTGTCGACCCCAGAGAGCGGCGGATACTAGGCGGGTATCGCGGTGGACATAGCTAAATGCGGCGCGCTCACTTCCCTTGCATCTAGGCATCAAGAGCAGTATCGACCCCCACGCTGTAAGCAGTTGCATGATGGCGCAAAAAAAAAAACGCGTGATGAGTTGTTAGATTGGGAGCTCAGAGGTTTGCATGTTGAAATTGGAGGAGTGAATAGCGTCTGTGAGATTTGATCGCGAGAGGCGGGGTCAAAACAGCCCCACTATCAAATCGCAACTTTAGCCCAACAACGCAGCCTTGAACACCCTCACCGCATTTACCCTCTTGCTCTGCTTAGTCAAAAGTACCTGCATCACTTCGTCGCACCCCTCCTCACTTTCTCATCACTACAAGCTTCCACAGCACGCACATCAACCCCTCGCAAACATGTCCTGGCAAGGTAAGCAGCTCGAGACGCCAACTTGGAAAGGTGGTGGCTAACATTGAACGTAGAATACGTTGACACCAGGTACGCTTTGCCTCGCAACGAGTAGCCGTCCATATCTAACGCTCTTATCTAGCCTCGTCGGCACCGGCAACATCGACAAGGCCCTCATCTGCGACGTCGAGGGCGCAACTGCCTGGGCCGCATCCGCCGACTTCTCGGTACGTCGTCCGTTTGACACGCGCCAGATGCTGCAAGCATCCCATATGCGAGGCTCTGGCAGCGCATACACGATGCATTGATGCTGACCGAGTACAGCTGTCCGCTGAGGAGAGGGCTGCCATCGCCAGGTCTTTCGGCGACAAGTCAGAGCCCAAGAAGGTCATCTCGGAGGGTGTCAAGGTCAATGGCGTAAAATACATGACCATCGAGGCAAGCGATGACTCGCTCAAGGCAAAGAAGGTAACATACCAGACACAGTTCACAACATAGCATACAGATACTGACAACAACTTCAGGGCAAAGAGGGCGTTGTCGCCTTCAAGACCACCCAAGCCGTCATCATCGCCCACCACCCCGACACCATTCAGACCCCCAACGCCTTCAACTCAGTAGTTGAGCTCGGCGAGTACCTGAAGAAGCACGGAATGTAAAGCGCCTTCGATTCGAGACTGTCTGTACTTTAGGGATATTTGCATAACCAGTTGAGGAGCGATGGATGGCATCATGGGTGACTGCTCATGGATATAGATATGATTGACGATGGACGAAATAGCGATATTGGAGGATCCTCTTCGATACAATGACAAACTCAACCCCTAAGGCCTGACCCTTTCTACTGCACTCTCAGACTGATACTGTGATTCAGCCCGCCAATGAGGTTCATCTAGTATTAAGCTTCAAGTTGCCATCGCCGATGGGATGCATGGGCTGTAGCGTTCCGCATTCACATATGTCATTGCAATAATGAATTAGGTTCGACAAAACTCACGAACCTTAGATAATCATCATGGTAAGGACAGCCATGGTTAAGTTGGCGGCTGCAGTATGGAAAAGGAAGGACTGTATCAAGGTATAAGCCGACATCCGACCCAAGAACGAAACGAAAATCTATAGTCCCTTCATGCTCCCCAATTTCTTCACGACCTTCTCCCCAAATGCTCTCTGTAACTGTGCAGCGACAACTTCCCTCTTCTCGTCTGCATTTTCATCGAGGTCAAACGCCACAGGACCTTGAAGACAAGCCGTAATCACACCTTCTACTGTATTGCCTAGGTGACTTTTCACACCACGAAGATGTTGTGGTTCCTTCTCCAACAATCTCTTCTTAACACCCCAGGTATCTTTAGGTCGGGCGTTCTCGAGGTCAATAGAGACAATCTGGTCGATGGGCCTCCAGTAAGCAATCTCCAACAAGACAATACCGAGCGAGTAAAGATCAAAGGATTTCTTGTAAGACTCTCGACCGCCGGCGTCCTCACGATTTCCTTTGTGTTGTACAGATGGATGGCGGTAGATGTCTGCGGCAGGATTGTCAAGAGGGCGTTCAGTCATATCGTCGCTAGTAGCTGGGCGAGAGTAGTCAAAGCCACTGATGAGAGGATCCGCATAATTGATTTCGCCTTCCATGACCCGGCCGTTGTGAACTTTACCCCCCTTCTTAGGAAACAGTAAAATGTTGGCGGATCGCAAACCCTTATGTAGCCAATCAACTGCATGTAGACGTTCGACTGTCTCAACAAGCAGGCGCATGAGCGTGATGCGATCCGTCAATGAAGGAATGTCGTTTTCAGGGGTAGTAATGAGCGCATGTAAAGATGTAGGCTCCGTATCCATCGGAACAGATGCAGGTTTCTCAAAAACCAAACCAAAACGTCCTTCGTCTTCGTCGATGAAATAGCCGCGGCAGAAGGGTGCTCTGAATCTGACTGTCCTGTTGTGCTTACTGAGCAAAGCAGCTAGTTTCTTGACACGAGCATGGATTTTGGCATCAACTCCACCATCTTGCTGCATAGGACCGGACGTGTCAGGAGTTTTCCATTCGATCCATACAGGCATTTTTTTGTAGTATGCTTCCGTACGTACACCCTCATCAATTTCCTGAGGGAATTGGGTGCCCTGCCTAGGTCGTACGTCTGCATACTGGAGCTTAGTATCGCGGATGTCGTTCGGGAGATCTGGCATATTAATCTCCCGTGCATAGCTTGAAGTGAGATCTCCGCGAGAGTCTTCAATAGCAAGGTGAATGAAGTTTTGCTGGGCCAGAGCGGCCAGAGGCTGATGTGCAGCACCGCGAGCTATGACGGCGCCACTATCAATTAGTCCATCGTAATCGGCGTTGTCCATCTCTAGCAATGAGTGTGATCTTTGGAAGCTGATCTGTTCTAACTGCTGAGATTGGTAGATTTGAACCATGTGCGACATAGTCCTGTTCAGCAGGACTATCTGGTCATTGGTACGTGTCTGCATGTCAAGGAGAAGGTCAACCTGAGCCTTGTCCAGCGCTTCGTGCATCTTGTCATTGAAGTTGGCCAGTTTCGCAATAAGCTTTTCCATCTTTTGTTGGTCGAAAGTCGCCCATCTTAGTCTCTTGGGCACATCCTTGAATTGTTGCACAAACCTGAGAGACATCTTGACCAGCTCTTCGGTGGGCGGAAACCGGACGGGCTTTACAGGCCCTTCGCTGGAGCCATTGGTATCATTCTCAATCAACCGGTCCGAATTTTGCAGCACGAACTCTTCAGCTGCTTCCTCCAGGAGAGGATCAGTGAGCCTCTCATATCTGTTGTCTAGTCGGCCGAATGAGAAGAGAAGCTTTTGCTGCTGCTCCATGATGTTGATGATTAGGCCTTTCGACATGTGGTTCAAAACTAACTTGTCATCTCGATAGTCAAGCTGTACAAGCTTTGCCCAGTTGAGTAGTCGATGTTCCTCGACTTTGAAGTTAAGCAGAAGAGCTTGACAGTCTTCACGGGCACGACAAGCATCAGCGATTAGTTCGTAACCTAACGAGATCTGTCAGATATCATTTGAGTGCAACAAATAGATGTATTGACCTTGGATGCATCCTGCGAACACCTGGAAGAAGAAGGATACACCTCCAATCGCTAGCTCAGCCATTGTTTTGGCCTGATAGACAGGTGGTTTCTGTGTAAAAAGACCCTCGAACACGACACCTGGGTGATCTCAGTAGGGAAGAATAGAAAGCGGCAAAATAAATACAGAATGTGCGTAGTAGTTCAAGAGTGAGTAGGAAGAAGGCTGATACTTCAATTATATCGCTAGGGCTACATGAGCAAATAGTGCGTTGCCATGCAGGCGCGCGCAGCCTGATTTGTGACCAACACTGCCTCCATGGTCTCGAGCTGAAGGCCGTCTGTAAATCCTAGGCTAATCAAACAGTCTGGGCTAGTGGAGTCCGGTCAAGGTAGAATCGCGATGGCGTTCTGCTACGCATGAGAAATGCTGCAATCGTGGCTGAGCGGTGTTCTGTTGAGTTCGTCTGGTGCCACGAGAGACAGGCCTGACGTCGATGTAGGGGAGTCGGGTGTGCCTCGAAGGAAGCCGCGGTCCGCACAGCCACGCTAGCAAGCCAATGGATATGGACCCTGGTCGGATGAGCGCGTCGCATGCTGTCACCCATCTGCTCACCACTGACAGACAACGGGCCTCTCGCTCTCTGGCAATGCTTCTCGCGTATCTCAATCCTTGGTATCGCCCCGAATCAGATTTTGAACCTACGCCCTTCGTCGCGCTTTTATTCCGGGCCCCCGTAAAGCTACTCCTCTACCATTCGTATCACCTTCTCGCGTACCTGCGCTCAACCCCAAAACCCTTACAGCAACCACCTGTTCGGGTCGTCTGCATTTCCGATACGCATAACCACATACCGGATGATGTACCAGAAGGCGATCTGCTCATCCATGCCGGGGATATGACAAATGGTGGAAGCGTGGCGGAGATACAGAAACAAATAGACTGGCTGAGTTCACTGCCGCATAGAGAGATTGTCGTCGTCAGTGGAAACCACGACACGTTTCTGGACCCAAGGACCCGACCTTCGCTATCTGAGGAGCAGAGAACTGGGAAGCTGAACTGGAAGAGGGTGCACTACTTGCAACACCGGCGGTTGAGCCTCACGATCAGGGTCGAGCCTAGGGACGGTGATCGGACAGATGCATCGACACCCCTACTCGCAGCGGAACAAAACCAGAGGCGGGTACGGATCTATGGCGCACCACAAATTCCAGCATGCGGACCAATGGACATTCATGCTTTCCAGTATGAACGAGGTCGAGACGCCTGGTCAGAAACTGTGCCTGAGGATATCGACATCCTGATCACACACACCCCGCCGAGATTTCATCTGGACTTATCATTACCGACAGGAATTGGCTGTGAATACCTTTTTGCTGAGGTCAAACGAGTAAAACCTACACTGCATGTCTTCGGCCATGTGCACTGGGGAGCTGGGCGAACTGTAGTATACTGGGATAAAGCCCATGATGCCTATGTGCGAGGGCTCTCGATAAAGTCAAAGTGGACGCGAGGCCTACTCAACCCGAAGCTGTGGTGGAACATTGTTAGAGTCGCATACCGTGGTATAAGAGAGCTTCTATGGGATCGCGTGTGGGGTGGACAGAGTCCCAACACAATCATGGTCAATGCAGCCCAAACAATTGGAAATACAGGGAAGTTGGGCAATCCCATCCAGGTCGTCGACATTTAACACGATCCGTCACAGTATACCCAAAGCAGTCGTAATCGTAATGTATAAACCTCTTGAGCAACACAGCAGTAAGCACTTCATTGTCGGGAAACCTTTTCGAACTAAAAAGGATTCTGTTGATTTCGCTCGACTATCTCGCAGGAGAAGCCAAGTTCAACAAGGAGACCAGGCGATTCGCCGTTCCCCGCGACTTTATTTGATTGTGGTCATTAAACCATAAATCGTGCATACCATGCCATGCCATATCCCACCACTGAGCAAAAAACTTGCGCACATGCTCAGAGACGACGACCACGGCGACCACCCTTCCTTCTGGTGGAGTCGGATGGGGTGGGGGTAACGTCCTCGATACGTCCAATGCGCATGCCAGCGCGGGCAAGAGCGCGGAGAGCGGACTGGGCACCGGGGCCGGGGGTCTTGGTGCCGTTACCACCGGTGGCTCGGATCTTGACGTGGAGAGCGGTGATACCGAGTTCTGGCCATGTTAGCTTCTGGTCCAGCTTGTCGATTCCAGGTCGTCTTACCCTTGCAGCGGGCAGCAACATCCTGGGCTGCCAACATGGCGGCGTAGGGAGAGCTCTCATCACGGTCGGCCTTGACCTTCATGCCCTTTTGTACTGGTTAGTGCACGTCGTATGCAGTCCTGATGTCTGCACTTACACCAGTGACACGGGAAATGGTTTCGCGGCCAGAAAGATCGGTGATGTGGACGAAGGTGTCGTTGAAGGAAGCGAAGATACGGGCAACACCGAAGACAAGCTCACCCTGCGCGGCTGTCAGTTCATCGTCTCTCGTCTTCCAATGCTGGTTGTTCACAAACCTCGCGGACCTGGGGTCCGAGTTGGATGTTCTCCTGGGGAGCGCGGGCGACCTTCTGCTTGGGAGGCATGTTGGCGGATTTGAGGGATTCTTGACGTGACTGGCGGTTCGTAACGCTGGCGGCGATCGTGAGGTCGAACTTTTGGTGGGTGATGAATTTCGCTTGTGTCGGAGGAACTAAACGCCGTGCTTAGCGTGCCAAGCCCGACTACTTAACTTTTCTTTGGCAGCCGCAAGCGATCTTTAGGTTCTCCATCGCTTCGCAATGGGCTGACATCCTCCACCTCACTCACGCACAGGAGCGTGCGACACGACAACAACCATGGAAGACCGCAAGAGCGTCGGTATCATAGGCATGGGCGACATGGGCAAGATGTACGCCCGTCGCCTGAGCACAGCTGGATGGAAGTGAGTGCATTCGCGCGACCGATAGCTCGAAGCTCCAGAGCCTTCTGCAAATGGTAAGCCCTTCACACTCTTCCACACACCCTTTCCCCCGTTATGATGACCGTGAGTGCATTTGGCTCGAGTACGGCGCATGTCCACACTGCTGCCGTCTTGGTTTGCAGTAATTGGGCATGTTGCTGTCCATGATGTGAATTCTCGCTACCTTATTTTATACACCTCTGAACTACAAACAACTACATCGCATTGTTCATTACTATGGCGCGAACTTTGCTAACCAGTTGCCTCACAGATCGACTCTCATCGAACACGCTGACATGCTGTCTCTGAAGGGTTCACGCCTGCGATTTGCCGGACAAGTTCGATACATTAGTAGAAGAGTTTCGGGACTTTGTAGGATAGCACTTTTATATATTGTAATGAATGAACGCATACTGAGACTGCGCCAGTCCAAAGTTGAGATCATGCAAAGTGGTCATCTCGTGTCTCGCTGCAGCGACTTCATCATCTACAGCGTCGAAGCGAAGAACATCGATGCCGTCGTCAAGACTTTCGGTCCCTGTACGCCGTCTCCTGATATTGATACATGCTGCCACTAACTCATTCCCGCATTCAGCTACTAAGGTTGGCGCCATAGTTGGTGGTCAGACCTCATGCAAAGCTCCAGAGATGGATGCCTTTGACAAACATCTTCCTAAGGACGTTAGCATCGTGTCGGTGCACTCTCTCCATGGGCCCGGTATAGATCCCAAGGGGCAGCCGTTGGTCCTGATCAAATACAGGGCTTCAGACGCCGACTTCGCATTCGTAGAAAACGTCATGTCTTGCCTTGGGTCGAAGCATGTCTATCTCTCTGCCGAGCAGCATGATCGCATCACGGCGGATACGCAAGCTGTTACCCATGCCGCCTTCCTCAGCATGGGTGGTGCATGGTTCGCGAACAACCAGTTTCCATGGGACAGTTCACGCTATGTCGGCGGTATCGAGAACGTCAAGATGAACATCACCCTCCGCATCTACTCCAACAAATGGCATGTTTATGCAGGTCTTGCAATTCTCAATCCAGATGCGAAAAAGCAGATTAAACAGTATGCCGAGTCGGTGACCGAACTATTCAAGCTTATGCTCGCTGGGCAACGGGACGAACTGCGTGAACGTGTTCATACTGCACGCAAGGCCGTCTTTGGTGACAATGAGGATGGCAAGAAGCTGCTTTTGCGAGACGATTTGCTTGACCGATTCGCCTTAGGCACGATCCCAGAGAAGAAGCTCAAGAACAACCATCTCAGTCTACTCGCCATGGTAGACTGCTGGTGGAAGCTAGGCATAGTACCTTATGACCACATGATCTGCTCGACACCTGTAAGTCTATGATCCTCCTTCATTGCCGCTTAATTCGTTCTGCAACTTTGATTACTAACACATATGTAGCCATCGCGTATGTGGCTCGGCATTACAGAGTACCTCTTCTGCAACCCCACGCTACTCGAAGAGGCCATCGACACGGCTATCGATGACAACACTTTCCGCGCCGATGACTTGGAGTTTACCTTCGCCGCCAGAGACTGGAGCTCGCGTGTCAGTCTGGGTAATTTCGATGGCTATCGGGAGAAGTTTGAGGAGATCCAAAAATACTTTGAGCCGAGGTTCCCAGAGGCGACCAAGTTGGGAAATGAGATGATCAAGGTCATCTTGCAGAAGACCCAGGATACTTGAAATCATGAGTACAGGCCTAGAACATGCATATAACATGTGGTAAATGAATGGATGATAAGCATTACGACAGTCGTGCACACCGATTGGCAAGTGACGATTTGAGTTGCAGAAATGACGAATTTATGAAGTGAGAGCCCTGAGGCTTCCACTTTACATGTTGGTCTCTCCTACCTAACAGTAACTCCTTGCACTTGGAATTACGTTCTTGGGTATCATGAGTGCGACAGTATCAAGCTCTTTCGTTTTTACCTCTTTGCTTCATCTCCAGAATCAAACTCAGTGCTTTCACCAATATCGCAAATTCCGAAGCCTTCTTTGCCCCCCTTTATACCCTTCCATTCACAAGCCTCCTGCAATTTCTTCGGTGGTGCCATGACCTCTTCTTCGGTCAACACCCACGTACCCCAATGCATTCCCAACGCCCTCTTACATTTAGTGTCCGCAAATATATTGACAGCATCTTTGGGACTAGCATGTACATTACTGAACATCCAGCGAGGTTCATATGCGCCAATGGGAATTAGACCAAGGTCGAAGGGGCCGCGATGCTGACCGATTTGAGAAAAGGCCGGGCATGTGGGTAGATGAGAGTAGGCAGCAGAGTAGTCATCTTCGGTGGCGGGAATGCTGGAAGGCACTGTGCGGTAGCCTGTGTCGCTGCGGAGATGTTATTATAAGCAGGCAAGGATTGAAGCAGACATACCCAGCAAAGTAAACTTTCGCACCACCAGATTCCACACTCCAACTCGCCCAGAGCGTCTTGGCCTTGTCAAACGGTGTCCTTGCACTGATATGCTGGCAAGGCAGCGCACCAATCGTTGCCTTTATGTCACCATTTCCCCCCATGTCGTGGGAACCCACAGAAACAGAACCTGCCTTATTGCCCTTTTGCGACAACTCCTCCAATGTAACATCCCTGCTCTCCCACCAATCCAACTCTGTAACTTTTGTAATTCCGCTCTTCTCAAACCACTTCTTGTTGCCCAATGGTGCGAAGAAATGTGCCTCAGGGAACTTCTTTTGTAGGCGCTGAATTGTCGGGTAGCTGAGATGGTCATAGTGGTTGTGGCTTATGACTACTGCGTCGACGATTGGCAGATCTTCAATCTCGCAGGGAGGAGGCGTGAAGCGTTTTAGGTTCTTCATAGTGATGGGCGCGCAACAATCTTCGAAGACAGGATCAAAAAGGACGCGGAAGCCGCTTGGGAACTCGATGTAATAGCATGCGTGACCAAGCCATGTTGCACGTAATTTCGGCGTTTTTCGTGAGGGAAGAAATTCCGGTGTGCGGACTGGTACTGTTGGAGGCGATGTGTCTGGGCTATTGGCTTGACCTGTAATTTTGCGCCTACGATGGTGTTAGCCTTGCAATTGTAGTACTTATACGATGAAACCGAAGACTGGACTTACCATATCATACCCTTGACCAGCAGCTCCCAAGGACTTATTTCAACATAGCTGTCCCACGGATTCGTAAACCCTTTCCCGCCTTTTAAATGATGCTTCTTTTCATCCGCTTCCTCAGGCTTAGCAGCAATCTGGGCTGGATTGCTTACCACAGCATAGAGACCTATACCAATGCTCGCACCACCTATTGAGCTCATTGTGATAGTAGTACCAAAGTGCGGTGTTTGCCAGAAGCTCTGGTATTTCCCAAGTTTCCGGTACCTTCGCGATTCACTGAACAATCGGCGTATGACACGAGACGAGAGCGACAGGCGCGACATTAGATATGTATATTCGCCTGACTCAGTTCAAGCGGCCAAACACAGGATGTCTCCAAGCAGCGCGAGTTTATTATCATACGCGTCCACCGCCAGTTGCGACAGCCACAATACCTTTCGGGTAAAAGTTGCGCCAGACGGAGATAACCACTATTAACGTGGATGCCATGATGCATCATCTGGTAATGGCGCATGCTCGCTAATGGCTAGCCCACAAGGCAACATCGGACCCGGACAAGCGGCCAGTCTGTTCGTCCGACTCGTTTTGGCGTCCATCCAGGTTCAAACATTATCGAGCCTCTCTGGGCATTTTCGTGTGGTTCGCGCGATCGTAATTCGCACTATTTCGCGGCCGAATCAACGTGGCGTGGTGCCTTGTCCGTCTTACTGGTACCCAGAGCACGCATTGTGCGCGGGGCTTCCGCTTAAGTCCGCAGAACCAGAGCGTGATAGACCCGACAGGCATGCGATAGGCGAGACGACAATGGAACGGTTACAAGTGGCTATGCTGTCGCGCGAGAAAAGTATACGGTGTCATACGAATAAGCTATTGGCATGAAAGTTGCGATAATATAGAAGCACAGGACGATCATGCAATTACAACACACAAAAATACCATCCAGAAGTGGCTACTTTCATGATGTGAGTGTGAATCAGATATGCTTCAACTAATATGAAAGAAAAGAACATATGGATGTATACCTCAGTACGTCTGTTCGGCCAAGGAATAACGAATAGATAGTGTATTGGGTTCAATATGCACTACTAAAGCCCGTCAGCCCCCAGAGAGACAGCACTACATCTTATGATAGTCATGGAGGTTTCTCTCTATACAAGCTACTGGTACTATGCCAGTAGTATCGCTTCGAAGACGCCACGCCATTGATGTAGCGGTTTAGACCGTTGAAGCTCGTGTTGCCTTCACAAACACCCCTAATACGTACAGGGTACTCTTGTACATCAATCAGCTATGATGTGGTAATCATACCGAATAATGCTGATGGGTGCAACTCTGACATCTATAAAATTGCCATGTTCGGCAACAATATGTGTGGAAAAAAATGTTTACTGGAAACAGGTATCACCTCAATCGAACCTAGATAGTCCAAGCATCTCTGCTTCATTGTGACCACACAGAAGATATACAAATAAGACATACGAACAAACCATTGTGCTTTTCAGTCAAAATGGTCAACTCGACCTTGGCCGTGCCTTGTGGCCCAGTTTGACAGACTGTCACGTAATGTGTATGTTGTATGTCCAAGACATTGCGCGTAATATGCCCCTGTCCGAAAGAATGCGAGATCGAGTGATCTGACGCCTGCTGTTGGGACGGGATCTCCGGGACGACAGGGCATCTGGATCGCTGGATCGGATGGCGTTGGGACCGAGGGCAACGAACCAGGCTGTCTCAAGATGGGCTGAAGTAGCTGAAACAACAGCCTGTACTCGTGCAAACCCAGCAGCTTCGGTGCTGCGACAATGATGTAACTGCAGTGGTTATCATCGCAGTGCTGCTCAAGCGGATCGAATGGTATTTACTCACAAGCAGGGCAGATCACTTTATCAAATGAGGAACTGGAACAATGATCACCAGGTGAAGTGGAGTTTCATTTGTCGTTTCCTGTGCGACTGTATCGCTTTTCTAGGATTTTTTTTTCGCATTCTGGTGGTATCCCCAATATCAGGATATTTCGTTGTATCGCAGTTATACACTAAACAAATCTTCCCTCCCGTTGCCCAAAACAATGCCGGTGCAGGAACCAGATAAAGCAAGAGGTATTTTTTCCGCCGCTCCAAAAGAAATAAAGCAAATCCCATCGCTGATCTTGTGCCATTAATTACAACCCGACTACAGCGGAAGGCGAGGATCCAGGAAAGAAGTCGTGAACGTAACAAGCGGCCCTCCAGTGGCGACATGACCATGGTCACTGCCGAAGGATTGGTCGCATGGGGTGACTCCGCATGCTGAAAGCGAAAGCCGACTCCTGAGAAGTGAAATCCGTAAACCGAAAAAGGGCAACCTCCGTAAACATTGAGGTAGCGCTAGAGAAATGAACATCGTAAAGGTGCGATATGACACCCGAATGAAAGCAGGAACGCCGTAACCCACAATTTCGCTGACATGCTCCTATTAGACCATGGGCAAACCAAAGTCTAAAACGTGATACCGGTGATAACAAGGAAAGAGTGATGGAAAGAGAAAGAAAAGGGAACCAGTGAAATCTATCATGCAAGATGATCGCAAGCCTTGTGCGTTTTCGTGAGATCCGGAGGCGCACCAATATGCTTGCAGATAGCGGAAGGAATGAGGCAGTTGTGCCTTGACAATGTCTGGTAGTCTAGGCTTGAGGAAATCGAAGTAGCCAAATGTATCCAGTGATCGAAACTGGGTGGGCTCAGGTAGGCCATAGTACTTCGCGGAACGGAAGAGTAACTTTTGAACATATGAAGCGCTGAAATGGGATATCGAATATGTATCCGTGGAACGTCAAGTGGACGATGTCGCCATGGTGCTCGGCCGATGAGGAGCAAACGATTAGACAGCAACAGCCTGGGGCCCGTAACCAGGTGCCATGTAGTAGGGCGGGTGCCTCTGCACACAGTAGGCGCATCCGCAACTGAGACCATGCTGGTTCCAAGCCGACGGGGTGTACTGTGAGTAAGCGGGTGGACCGTAGTTGGACGGTTGCTGGAGCGCTTGCGTAGGGGCGGGCTGAGACAAGGGAGGGAAACCGAACATGGTGCGACGCGAGTATCCTTCGGCCGGAGCCCAAGTTCCCGTTGTGCCATAGTACTCTGGGGTAGTCGGGCCCGTGGTGGGTGCTGACGCAGGAGAGTGCTCGCTAGCGGACCGCCATGGGTCGTACTGCGAGTAGGTCGGAGGGTTGTAGGCGGACTGGGCCGACTTGGGCACATAGTCGTACGGGGGAGTGTAGGCCTGCTGCATCGGTAGAGGAGGGAGCGGCTTGTTGGGGTTGAGTGAGCGTCGCTGTACCGACGTGTCGATGGGGCTAAGCTTGTTGCTACGACCAGAACGCGCAGCAGCAGTATTCTGGTAATCCTTCCAGTGCTCCGACCATGATGTCCAACCGTGTTGCTCCGTAGGATCGCGGTGAAGCCTGAACTTGATGGCTACGAGCCACTCGAGCTCAAGCTCGTTCAGCTCGTGTACCTGAATACCACTGACCTCGGACCACGAACGGTTAATGAAGGTGTTGTCGTCGAGAAACTTGCTACCGAGCACTAGTGCGATAGTGAGGAGACGGAACAGGTGGGTGTCGGTCTTCGGCTCGTGAGCCAGCATGGGCATCCTGCTGGACAAATAGTACATGCTGAGCAAGATGGTGGCCGAGGGCAGGCGCGTGGCGCAGAGAACCTGGTGCACCCACTTGCGGAAAGACGAAGGCATCATGCGACCAGGCGTGATGAGTCGTAGAGCTGTCTCGCAGACGAAGTCGGTCATGACGTCCATGTCATAATCCAGTTTCGCCGACACACCGCCGACAGGCTTCTCTTCCTTAGCCGGCTGGTTCATTCGCTGGTTGTACTCATGCACGCGCTGCTGTTGCATAGCTGCCTCTGCCAGTGAGTGACCAGACTGTGCGCGCATGGGTGGCAGTGTGGTTGCGCCCATGGGGTCGTAGAACGAGCTCGCGGGTGGGAGGCTAGGAGGCGCACTGCTTAGGTAGGTGCCGGCCTGCGGGTACATGGGTGGCATGGCGATGGCCAGCTGACCGTAGCGGTCTGCGAAGTCGTAACCATCATCTTGCTGCCGGATCGTAGGGCCAGCGTACGCGGGCTGCTGCGGCGGGTATGATGCGCCACAGGCAGAGTGGTAGCTGGGAACGAACTCCTGGGGAGACAGCCGAGGCATGTTATGCCGGGGGTAGAAGGAGGGCATGATGGTGTTGGACCGCCGCAGAGAGAAGACTGGCGAGGCTCCTGGTGTTGTGTTAGCGATGCCTTGTTGTGAAGTTGAAGGAGTCTGGTAGTGAGCCGTATCGCTAGCAGAATTTGTTGGTGACGTACAGTCTTCTCGTTCGCGCCGCCTCTAGAGTAGCCTACGGACCCTCTAGAAAGATGTGCTCATGCAAGGAAAAGTGTCGCCTGGGAGGTGTTTGGTGCGTGGTAGCAAAGTGTCGCGCTGGTGGTGCTTGTTGCGCGAAGGCGGAGAAGGGGCTGGAATGGAAGCAAAGTGTGCGTCGACAGGTGCAGTGCAGCTCGAGGGTGATGGAGCGCAGGCAGGCCGGGGCTAAGTCAATAGATCCGGCGACGCGAGGTCGTTGTTGTTGATGATGTCGCGGAGCGTCGAGGTCCCTGGAGACAGGCGGCAAAAGAAAAGCAGGTTGAAACGGAGCGCAATTAGACAGTACAAGCCAGAACCAGAGCCGGGAAATGCACACGCAACCTGTGTTCAGGTGGCGGAGGTGACGAGGCGTTGGGTGTCAGAGCCAGACGGACGAGTCTACCCGTGAGTGCTGCACTGCTCGTTTGCAAAGCCAGCGAGACAGAGCAAGCGTCGGGTGATGCTGGTGAGCGGGCTGGGGATGCCGGACAGCCGAGATTGGAAGCGCACGTCCGTTGGGGCTTGGGGACTGTGTCGCAACGAGCAACGCCTGCGACGAAGACAGGACGCGGGAGATGGGGGAGACGGGGGGAGGAGGTGAGGGAGGATGGGGATGGGGAGAGCAGAAGGCGGTGATGTGGGTGTATTCGATCGCACACCGTTAGCGAGGCCTAGCAGCGAAGGGGCTCTCTAGCAATGGCGAGCCAGCAAGACCGTCTTGATCCGAAGGCCGCACCTGCAATAATGGTTCATTACCTGTCTGTCTATCCACTCATGTGCTATGAAAACTCTGCCTCTTGCAGTTAGTGGG